GTCGCACTCTTCAAACTGTCGTTATCGAGGGATACGTGTGTTCGATAGACTAAAGAGAAGCCGTGTGGGCGGCCTGCACAGTCGGCGGTGTTGGCTGAGAAGCGGGGCGTGGTGGCTGTAGGCTCTTGCCGGGGTACTGGAGCTGAGGGAGCTTCGTGGTGCTAGCGTTCGCGTCAAGTCTCTACGTAGAGGGTGGAGTGCGTGTGGGAGAAGGCGTAGATGAAGATGGCGGCGTAGGCGACGACGGCGAAGGCGACGAGCGCAAGAGCGAGACTGAGGTCGACGGACAGGATGATGATGAGCTCCAGCGAGTACGCTGCTGGAATGCGACAATTACTGGTCTGTGTGACGGTCCTGCAGGGGCGACTGGAGCTGAGGGTCGTCGGTGCAGTAGTAGATCTCGACCTAATGTGGCGGAGACGGCGGTGACGGCGGAGCGGAGGAGCTTAACGACGCTAGAGCAGCGGACTCAGAGCGGCGACAGAATGCGGAGGATCACAAAGACTAGTCCCAATGACAAAGATTAGATTGGTGTATCTACAGGTACATCAGGGGATGAATACGCACCTAGTCCCAATGACAAAGAGGTCGAGATGGGGACTAGGGATGAAGGTACAAGGTTTATATAGTAAATCCTGGGCAGTGTCCATAACAATGCCAAACAAATGAGTCAGAGTCCAAAAGCACAGCCCACGCGGAGCGTGAACGAAACAAGACAATGCGCGAGAAGGTAAGAGAGATAGGGGTTGTACCCCCGCGTCCGCGACAGGACACAGCTTGTCGCCCGTGGCCAGACTCTGTGGCCATGTGCTCTGTACAAGGTGCACTAGTCACAAGTCCAACCGTGGGCAGAAGACAAAGCAAAACATTGAAGTGCATATGCGCAAGAGCCTCCATGGCCCACTTCTACCTGTCCATAATGCGATGAGACACACAAAGGTACATCGTGATGTCACACCAATGCTGGGAGAATCTCAGCCCCCACAATTGAGATGCTCTACTCGGTAGGTGCTGGGATGGGAAGGAAGCTTGCACTATGGAGATGAGGTAGCAGTGCCTGTCGCATACACCAGAGAGTAGAGGGTGATGGACATATCAATGGCGAGGGGTTTCTTCGGGCACTGGTATGTTTTCTACCTGTAGTTTGTGCAAACTCCATCCCATATCCTTGCCATATACCTTTCCTATTACAACCTTGTTCCTTTGGTGCTGCATGAAATATAACATTGCTATCTCTATTCCTATGGTGTTACACAAAACACAACATATATTGCAATTCTAAGGCAGTGTGACTAGCGCTTCTCACATCTCCTCCTGTTCAACAGAGATGCTCTGCTTCACTCATCCGATTGTCACATGTTCTCCCGTAGTAGAGATGCATATCATATTTGAGCGCTAATTGGGTTTGATTTGCATGATATTCCCACTCAGAAGGACAGTGTGCTAGACTGTTTCTTGTGCACAAAATACTAGAGCAATACACATTTCATGCACGGGGCGATGCTGTGCACAATATGAATTTGTGCACAGGATGATTGTTTCAAAACATCCATTTTGTACACAGCTTTAACTTTCGATAGTGCCTGGAGCCTATCTTTAGATGGATAGCTCCCGATCCAACAAGCAAGGGTATGCACCATCATCTCCCGCACTTGAGTGTCGTATATTGAGGGAGCTGTGCCATACAAAGTGTACCCATGCCATATAATCTTTACACTTCCTTGGTGTGGTGAAGGGAAAGGAGAGGTCAGTGGAATGTCCTCTGACAAGAAAGCTGTTTAGAACTCCAACAGATGTATCGTGCATGGAATAGAGACTTTGGACCAAGTTTCATTTTGTGTGCCTTGTAAAATTGGCCATATTCAGTGCAAGGAGACCTCTGTGCTCCTTGACAGTTTCCCTGCATGGAATGGGTCAGGACAGGTGCCATACCATCCCCATTGTTGTTCTTCTTGCCCTCTTCTTCCTTCTTCTCCTTTGCTGCAGAACTCAAAGTCTTGTTCACCAACTCCAGCACATTGTGGAAATGCACAACACCTGCCTGCCCAGACGAGTAGCCACCGCCTCCTGCAATGCTCTGACAACCATTGCAGCATCACAGTTCTCACTCTTCTTCTCTATCTTCTCAGTCAAAGATGCTACTCTCTCCTCAAGCCTCTTAACTAATGCCAAAGCTTCTCCTGTGAGCTGCCTGCTCTCTTCCACCTGCTTGTCCTTAACCAGCTGGCTCATTAATGCCTGAAGCTCTGCCACTTGCTGCTCTGCAGGCTCCTGCTCAGCTATATGGTCCATTGATGGTTTGTCAAGAGCTATAAGTAATGACAATAGCAAGCTGCCAGAGTGATCCTTGTTCTGCTCCAGATAATTCAGCCAAACTGCAAGCTCCAGCAGTGTCTTACTGAACCCAGGTCTCAGATTCCTTGTGCAGCTCTTTGGGTGGGATGATGCTGATGAGGTGTTGGACAATATGATGGTAATGTTGACTAACTGCAAGGTGGAAGGATGTAGTGTTGAAGACACAATACACGAATAAAGCTGGAATGCCTATGAAGGCACGTACTCACCAGGCTAGTTGTTGAAGACTTGAGTAAAGTTTGAAGAGTTTAGTTGCAAGTGACAATGGTAGTTGTTTGAGTAGGAGAGACTAAGACTAATATTCATGGTAGCGACTTGTATATATAGTATACAAAGAGCATGTGAATCTACTACTGTAATTGTAACAAGCCAGCCCTAAACCATGCATTGCATGGATGCTGACTCACAGTCCACATAGCCAAGTGTGATAGACGTGGGCCATGATCAATCATGAATACATAAGAGGTGCTTAAGTGTATACACATGTTGAGTGCCAATGTAGTGTTAGAATGGCAATGTGTACTTGTAGATCTCTAGGAGGAACATTGTCCATGGGTGGAGACCTTCTGGTATACACCAAGGAAAGTTGTGAACGGGTCAAGTACCACTCATACTTTCAACATGTAGTTCCATGCAGGTTCTATGCAATGAGACTGGCTCTGCCCAGCCTTGTCAAGAGCTCCATGTATTTGAGTTGCCCTTTGCAAGTGGCAATGTGGAGAGGCTAGGAAACTGCATGCAATCTATCAGAAGACTCATGTGAGCTGTACCACAGTGCTCACAGTATCTTTGCATCAGTCCTTTTTATTTATTATTATTAAAATAAAATAAAAATAAATAAATAAAATAAAATAAACTTGCTACAGCTTGTGCAACCTTGAGCAACCTTGTGCAAGCGACAGCAAGGTAACAATTGGCCCAAGAGGGCAAGCCTGGCAGGACAAGTCTATTTTTTCTACCAGTCAGTCTTCGGCAGAGTGGATATTACGCAGACAAATGCTTGCAAGTCAAACAAGTTGCCCTCATTTCAGTTGTTTAAAACTTCCACAGGCCATATTCTAGCCTTGGAACTCAGTTTAAGGCACAAACATCAACAGTATAAGTTCTGGTATGTTTATACAATCAATACGTATAATTTTGTAGCAACAGTGTTTTGTTGGCTTGTCAGCAAACACACAAGCTTGGCAAGTTGGCAAGAAAATGGTGCTTTTACTGATGTGGCCGGTTTCACCTGCTGCATCAATATCTCTTTGAGCTCATTCCTAGGCAGTTTCTGGCAAAGGTGGTTGAGCAACTTGTAGTTCTCAGTGGCACAAGCCATGTGCAGGATATTGGCCCTAATGATGATTGAGTTTGCAAGACACAATAGTGTAAAAACTAAACAACACATTCAAAACCCAAATGCAGAAAGTCAAAGTCTGTGTCTTCACCTAAACAACACATTCAAAACTAAGATAGAATAAGTACACATTGTAAGCAAGCAAAAAATGAAGATAGCTCACCCCAGATGCGGAAAGTCAAAGTCTGGGGTGTGACAATGGAAACCTACAAGTATAAGTAGACTATCAAAGGTAAAGGACTGGACAGATGGTAACTACAAACTTGACCCACATAGTCTAAATGTCTGTACATGAATGGAAATATGAAAGCAAACGAGACTTGCCAGCACATAGCCAGTGATAATACATACAAAAAAGGTATAGCCAGGAATGAGGATGACAAACACAAATAACATTGACAAACATTATTAAACATCTTGGCCAACACACAGGATTAGTGTCTTAGAACCAAAAAAAGATACCAACAATGACTTACAGCTTATTCACTGTTGCCTTCATAAACTCAGGCATCACACAGAACAAAACCTTCAGAACCACTGTTTTGTTTCCCCCCTCACCACACAGTGTAGATGTCATTGATGTCTCATTATCCTTATGCACTGTCTATCCTAGGTAGGGTTCAAACATCTTGATCAACTTACAAGCTTTCCTAAGGTGGTTTGCCTTGTTGCTTGGTTTGCAAGATGCCAAATACACCTGATAGCTTGACAGCACCTCATTTTCCGCTAAATACTCGATTGTACACAGTGACAACCCCATTACTACTATACAAAGCATGGTGTAGTGGCTGGGTGCATCTTTGTTTGGTTTACCTTCTACTTTTTTTGTTTGCAAGGTCCTTTCACTTTCTCCTGTGGATGGTCAGCCCAAGGTACAGTTTTCTTCCCTTGCTAGCCTTGGCCTTGTGCCAGTCATCTTTGTTATCAGAATCTAACTCAATGCTGACACCATAGCACTAGATCAGGACATCAACTGTCTCAGGGCAGTCTTGCTCAATAGCAGGGAACAGCACATGCTTGCTGGTTGTTGCAAAGTTTATTTCAATCAGAATTATGAGTGTTAGCCACAACCAGTTGCAATTATGTTCCAAGGTGATTGCAACTGATTGCTATTGAATGGAATTGCCAGTATCCATTATGACCAATTGCGACCGCTAAATGAACTTTGCGACAGTGTCCTCCTCACAAGCATCAAACAAGTCCAGGACATTCTCAAACATCTCCATATTGTCCTTGGCAATAGCCTGCAGAAGAATGTTGACACTGTTAGATAATTTTGGAACTTTGTAAGTCATTTTTAGGAGCATGTTGTAAGCCCAACACCCTTGGACTTACAATGTTCACACTATTTCATTATGGATACCACTGGCTTTGAAAGCAAACTCCATTCTGATCACTCCACCACCAATCCTGTCTACTGTACAATCTGGATTTTACTTCTATGAATCTTTTCTATATTTATCTTGCATTCTTGCTATGCACTTTTCTTGATACAACACCTATGGTATTCTATTGCCCATCCCTGTTTTATACATGCTTGCTCACTCAGTAGTTAACTTACCTCCTGATCTCTGCTCTCCTGTACTTCCTTCTTCTGTTTTCTGCAATACTCCATTGTTCTATCATCATCTGTCTAACTCTCAATGTTTGTGCTTTGGCGCTGTTCCACTTTTTTTTAATAACAACAAAGCAACATATTATTCAATTATCTTTTGTCTCATCTGCTGAACACCTTACCCACCCCAGAACTGATGGAACCCTGCGAGCTGCATACCCCCTGCCTCTGTTACTGTCTGTCTAGCCAGCAGCTTTACTTCTCGGGCTAGCCACAATGGTGGTGGACTTGCATTGCCTGGCAAAGCACTCAATATTGGCCTTGTACTTGTCACGTTTGTTGTCAGGGATGAGGTGGATAGTGAGTGTTTTGTAAGTGGCAGCATTGGGAAAGCTGTTAGTGCAATTCTTGGACCAATGGCCAGCAAAGAAGTGTCTACAATGTAGACATCCTTCATATTTATTGAGAAGCTTACATTTTTCATCTCCGAGTTTTGAGAGTCTGGGTGTGCCAGGGTCATGAGAAGCTGAGGATGCATGCAAGCAAGAGTGGGAATGAGAGGAAGAAGAAGGTGGAGCGCTATGCGCTGTAGGAGTTTTTCTGTAATTAGCAACAAGACTGTTCATGATGCCTGTCAACTGCATCTCAATGAGATGAATGCTATTGATCCAGTCAGTCAAAGAGAGCGTGCAAGGGAGCTGATAGACCTAAATTGCATTCTTGAGATTAAAATTCATGTGAGCTTGCAGACAGATGCGTATAGTAGTATCATTGAGGTAACCAGGACATTTACTGAGGAGGGCATCCTTTCTTATGGTATGGTGAGCATATTTTGTAAATTGGTGAGTACTTTGACTCTTGCTCTGGACCTTGTCTGCAAGCTTTACCTCCCAGCCAAAGGGGAGACAGTAAGCTCAAATCTTCTCAAAGAGATCATCAAGAGGCAAGGCTGAGAGTGTGGCCCACTGAGTGGTGATCCAATCCCTGATTGCAGAATTGTGGAAGGTGCATAGAAGTTGCTTGGAGGCTTTCTTCTTGTCAATGTCCTTGATCTCAATGTAGCCACAAAAAGCATCCTCAAACTCCTCCGCAACCTTGAGTGTGACATCACCTTTGGTTAACACAGGTAGATCTTTGGGCAAATCCTGTTTGACAATGGCACCGGACATTGGGTTGTAGTTGCATTGATACTTTTGGAGACAGCAAGACAAGTCTGAATCAGACCTGCTGTCATCCAGAAGATTGGTAAGAGGAAAAGGGGCATCTTTGATGGGCTGAGTGTTGTTGGAGGTTGCCTGAGACTCTGAGAGCACTCCTTCTATAAGAGCAAAGGAGATACCCCAAGCGGTCATCTGAGAGCAAGTCTGACAGATAGTAGAACAGAGGAAGACAGAATGGACAAAGGAGACAGAGACAGATGACAGATAATGGTTGTGTCTTGCCGGAGACATCATCCATTTTTGAAGAAATTGACAATTCTTCAGATAAGTGTGATGCACCCATGTCATCTCCCCCTCTCCCCCCCCCTTTTTTTTGGCTGTGTCTTCTCAACAGTCCTCTTGCCTCATCTTTCATCTGAGTTGACACACCCATTGACCACAGTTTGAATTTAGTTCTGATTAAATCAGACACGGTATTGCAATTGGGGTTATGCTTCAGGAAACTTCCAGAACCCTTAGATGTTTCAAATGTTTTATTGGGCTCTCTTTCTTTTCTTTCCCACTATGTTTTTCTTTCTCCTCACTCCCTTGACTCTTATTGGACTTTATTGAGAATACAAGCTCTTGTTGTAGATGACTTGGCTGTTCTTCTACTCTTGGGCAACCCATTTCTATCTCACAACCATCTTCTCATAGATCATGACCTCTGTACTTGCATTCCCAAAGATACCAATCTTGATCTTCTTGCACCACCCTCTGTTTGTGGTACTGCCTCTATTAAACCTATCCCCATTCCTGTTGACTAAAATTGTGTAAGTTGAGTGTTTTATCACAGCTCAAGTCGAACATGTCAAAAATTTGCTTAAAACTCGAGAAACATGCCACCTCTCAAGTTGATCTTTGCATAGTCATTTCTTCCATCCTGAATCGTATTCAGACCTTGCTTCCACTAACTTCAATTGAGAACACTTAGAACATCTTGATGTTGCAATATGCAAGAAATTTTGAAGACCATTTTCCAGCTGAGTTACCGCCCATCAGTACCCTTCCAACTGATGTATATCATTGCATCCAATTCAAAGACACAAATAAGACTATACAATCCCATTTATATTCTTGTCCCCTCAAGTGCAAACAAGTCAACACCTAGTGGCAGGCCATCTCTGCCCATCTGACAGTCCCTCCGTCTCCCCTGTTTTCTTGATTCCCAAGAAGGACCCTACCGCAAAACCGTGCTGGATAAAAAATTATTGTAAACTAATTAATAATTCCTTCCCAGATTAACACCCGTTGCCCCACATTGACAATATTCTTTGCAGCTGTGCAAAGGGTAAGGTTTTCAGAAAAATCAACACAACTAGTTTGTTCTTCCAAACACAAGGTCACTCTAACAATATCAAATATACAGCTGTTGCTACTCCACTTGGCCTGTATGAATGGGTAGTCATGCCTCAAGGTGGCCAAAACACACCTGCAACTCATCAACACCATATGTTCTCAGCACTCAGACACTTTGTTGGAAAAATATGTTATGTCTACCTGGACAATATCATTATTTGGTCCCAAATCATAAAAGAACACATCCACAATGTACAAACTGTTCTTGACGCTCTCAGAAAGGCAAGTTTCTTCTGTTTTCCAAAGAAGACTCCTGTTTGCTTCAGATATTGAGTTTTAAGGGCACCACATCTCTGCATTGGGGATAGAAGTTAATCCCACCAAGGTCTGCAAAGTCCTAGACTGGGTTACTTCCAGATCTTCTGGTGATGTTTTCTTTTTTCTTGGCCTCATTTGCTACCTCAATCAACTCCTTCCTGGTCTTGCTGAACATATGCACATCCTCACCCCTCTGACTTCAGAGGATTGCAACAGATGCTGACCCAGATGGGAGGCTGAACATCAATTTGCCTCAAGTTGATAAAACACCTCGTCACCAGCACCAAATGTCTTACCACCATTTCAAAACCATGATTCCTTTGACACCAATGGCATTTTTGTTTCTTGCAATGCAAGCAACAAGTTTGTTGGCGCATTTTTCTTCTCCTTTGGTCCAATGCTCAAAACTGCTCATCCAGTCACTTATTACTCTGCTCAGCTCAATGGTGCTCAACTCAACTACCCTTTACATGAGAAAAGATTGTTAGCCATCATAGAAGCACTCAAAAAATGGTGGGTTGACCTCTTAGGTGTGTTGTTCACTGTCCTTATTGATCATAAGATTCTCAAACATTTTCAAACTCAACCAGACCTCTTGCAATGTCAAGCATGTTGGTCTGAGTTCTTGCCTCAATATGAGTTCACAATCCACTATGTCAAAGGACAAGATAATACTGTGGCTGATGCCATGAGTTGCCCTCCTGCTGCTCCATTCTCTGGTTACCTCAAAAAAACATCCCATCTCCCTATTCTGCTTGTCTCCTTGGATACCTACATCTCTACCATCCTGTCCATTGTCTCTCATAATGATCTCATCCCTGACATCATTTGAGGCTACTCTACAAACCCCTGGTGTACAAAGCTGTCTTTGTTGAATAGCTCTGTTCCAAATCTTTGTACAGTTGACAAGCTTTGGTTCATAGGCAATCACCTTATTATTTCTTGTGTGCCCAACCTTCACAAGTATGTTTATCGTTTGGCACATGACATGCTTGGTTATTTTGGTTTTGACAAAACCTACGCAGCCATCCAAAAAAGCTTCTATTGGCTCAACATGCAAAGGAACCTTGAAAAGGCTATATCTCCTCATGTGCTGCCTGTGCATGCAACAAGGCCTCCACCTCTAAGCTATCTGGACTCCTCCATCCTCTCCCTTCACCAGACAAGCAAGGCGAGAGCATCACTCTTGATTTTGTTGGCCCTCTTCCATCCAAACACAGTTTTGATAGCATTCTTACTATTACTGACTGACTCAGTGCCAACATCTGTCTTGTTCCATGTTGTATGGATATGACTACCTCCAACTGCATCACACTCTTTTTTAACCACTGGTTCTGCAAGAATAGGATACCTTCCAATGTCATTTCTGACAGAGACCATCTCTTCACTTCAAAATTCTGGTGCACCCTTCACAAGCTCGCTGTTGTCAACCTGAAAATGTCGACTGCCTTCCACCTTCAGACCAATGGCAGCAGTGAACGTAGGAATAAAATCCTCATCTAGTCTCTTCAATATTTTGTTGAACATTGACAGAAGGACTGGGTTGCAGCTCTGCCCCAAGTTTGTTTTAACCTCATGTGCACTGTAAACACTTCCACAGGGTTCTCTCCCTTTCATTTATATCTCAGTTGTTCACCACAACTCATTCCCCCCATGCTTCCACTTGTTGCCTCCACTGACCTTTTCTTGGAAGACAATATCACCGCTATGCTACATGTCATTCAGTCCCTACAAAATAATATTGCTGATGCACACAACAGTCTAGTGGCCGCTAATACTTCTCAAGTGCCCTTCACAAATCTTCATCATCTTTCTGATCCCTCTTTTGCTGTTGATGATCTGGTTTATTTGTCCACTAAACATTGCAGACAGGAGTACTTATCCCATGGGTCCAAACATATTGCTAAGTTCATTCCTAGATACAACAGCCCTTACCACATCATATCTGCACACCCAAACATTTTGACTTACATGCTGGATGTTCCCAACGACTTGCATATCCATCCAACTTTCCATGTCTCTCAATTAAAAATGTACATTCCCAACAACAATGCCTTATTCCTCTCACACATTTGGATCAAGCCCACCCTTGTCATCAATGCTTCCAGCAAACAAGATTGGTTCATTGATTGTATCATTGAGCACCAAAGACACAGAAGAAGTTATCAGTTCCGTGTCCGGTGAAAAGGCAAAGATGAACACACCAATTGTTAGCTACCATGCAGCAAACTCAAAGATTGTAAAACCCTCAATTCTTACCTTACCAACATTGGAAGTCTTCAGCCAGAAAGGGGAGGAGTGTAAGCCCAATGCCCTTGGACTTACAATGTCCACACCATTTCATTTGGAATACCCCTGGCTTTGAGAGCAAACTCCATCCTGATCACTCCACCACCAATCCTATTTGCTGTACAATCTGGATTTTACTTCCATGGATCTTTTCTATATTTATCTTGCATTCTTGCTATGCACTTTTCTTGATACAACACCTATGGTATTCTATTGCCCATCCTTGTTTTATACATGCTTGCTCACTCAGTAGTTACCTTACCTCCTGATCTCTGCTCTCCTGTACTTCCTTCTTCTGTTTTCCGCAATACTCCATTGTCCTATCACTGTCTGTCCAACTCTCACTCCCACTAAGAACAGCCTCTAGTGTAGTGTACCGGACCATACCGGCATGTACAAATAGAGTAGGTCGTCAAAAAACTATGTCAGCACATATATCACTACATAAATGAGACAAATGGTAGAGCGAATGTAGTGTCATATACTGCTATATATTGAATATATGAGGCCGTATGTTGCAATATGTGTGCGCCTGAGCGGGTATATTCACGCTTCGTATACCGGAAAATACGTGAAATTTCATTCGCGTATCCTACGGTACATCACGATATACAGCTACTATCGACCTCCTCCTCGCCCCCTCGCCCCCTCGCCTCCTCCGCCCCGTTTACGTGTCATAGAACAACGAGCTAGCGATGATGGTAGCAATAACACCGGCGGTGTTATTGACCCAGATTTTGTCAGAGATCTGTAGGCGCGGTCAGCAGGTTCGGAAACCGAGTATATAGACTTACAAGCTTCTCAGTGTCGCCATTGTACTTCTGTATGTGCTTGTTAGAACAGGTTGATGGAGATGACAATTAAAATATGTACCTCTTGCCCGATCTCGCCCAGAGCCTCCCACCATTGATCGAAGACCTCGATAGTGGGTTGGCCCTTTTTGATGATATAAAGGTGCTGCGCCAGCGTTCTCGCACGAAGTGTCAGAGGCAGGGCGATAGCACAGAGTAAATAGATACTTACTTGCCTGAGTGCACTTTTGCAGGTTTCATAGCCTTGAGGCGGGCGGTGGCGGTGCTTGCTGTCTTGCTGGCCCGAGTAAGCCTAGGCGCTGTCGTCCTTTGCGCAACGGCAGAAGCGGGAGTGGGAGCCGGGATAGGAGCAGGAGTGGGAGCCGGAGAGGGGACGGCAGTGGGAGCAAGAGTTGGAGTGGGCGCAAGAATGGGCGTGGGTGCGGGGACTGGAGTGGGCGCGAGGATGGGCGCAGGTGTGGGCGTGGGTGTGGGCACAGGTGTGGGCGCAAGGACGGTCGCGGGTATGGGGACTGGAACAGGAGCCTGAATTGGGGCAGGCGTGGAGATGGTTCCAGGAGAGGAAATCGTGGAGATAGGGCTGGGAATGGAGAGACGACCGGGAGAAGAAGCGGGGAGATTTGATACAGGTTGAGCTGAGGTAGGAACACGGGTGGATCCAGAGGCTGGTTTGATATGGGAGCCTGACGCTTGGCTTGGGCCGACAGAGGGCAAGCGGGGAGCACTCAGTTTGAGGGAAATTAGTAGCGTGAGATGTCATTGAAGAGGATGACTTACAATGGGCTGCCGACTTCGGGAATCGACACCTAGCATGCCATAAGTCAAAGCGAATACAAAAGAGCAAAGTAACAATGTACCAGGCCATCAGACAATCTCATTCTGTCCGTGTCCTCTGCGTCATCGTCGTCTGCTCCAAACTCTGCGGCTTTGGCAGCGTTGAGCGCGAAGTCTTCTGCGTATGCATCCCCGGTATCTTTCTGCTTGCCCTTGTCTTGGGCTGAGATTGGACGAACCTCGAGGGCGGGAGGAGCTGTTGGTTCTTGCTTCACCTGGGCAGCAGCAGCGGCAACCTCTGCTGCCTTCTTCTCCCGTTCGTGTTTGTTCTGCATGAAGGAGGGATATCGGAGGATGCAGATACGGTCAATCTTCCAATTGTCCTCTGATGCGAGGATCCAGGGGAATTTAGCGCCGAGTTCACCTATAAGTAACTTGATGGCATCAGTCGAGGCCCCACCCCATGAGTCCGGGGCCGCGTTCTTGAGATGCAGCGTATTCCAGACCCTCCAGCAAACTTTCGTAACCTTTGACATCTCCTCCTTCGAGATGGGATGCCCCTCCTCCGTCTCCAGGAAGGGAAGCTGGCTGTTGATGATGCCACGAGCGATAATCTTTGGCGACTCGATCCAGTCTTGATATGTTCGCTGCTTCCACCAACGGACCTTGGGGAAGTCCACGCCCGATAGCGTTGAAGCCTGCGGAGCTCGAGTGTCGAGCTTGATCCGCTTGGTGGGAGGGCCATCTTTGGTGGAGACAGGGGAGACAGTTGAAGGGGAGGAATAGGTGGGCTGGGTCGTAGTGGGCAAGGACTGGGTAGTAAGGGGACTGGTTTGCGCTGAGGCAAACATAGATGCGAGGCGAGCAAGAGATTTTCTGTGAAAAGAAACAAAATGAGCGCATATATTCGAAGGAAAAAAAGACTTACACGTATAGCTGGTTACAAGAATTCAGAGGTGTTCTGGGCCTCTAAACGCGAGTTCGCGTTTTGTAGAGCAATGGTCTCCTGTTGAGGGAGCATATACGAAGGCTGTAAGAGTATAATACAAATTAGTAAGTATGGAAGAGAAAAGAAAGCTGACTCACGTCGATATGATTGTTTGAATGAATGCCAGCGTTTTGAAGAGTATGAGAGGGCCAAGAACGAGAGTGATACAAGGTGGTGTCAAGCGGAGAGTCGTCAGAAGGTGGCAGTGAGCTCAAGAAGTCGGCAAGGTTCGTGTTCGGGCCGGAGAAGTCGTTGGTGGATGGGAGAGAAGGGAGGTGGTTGTGGGCGTCGTAGACGGACATTTATGACAAGTTATTACAGAAAAAGAGGGGATGGGAGGTGGGCGTGGATATATGCGGACGAGAAGGAGAGACAAGGAGAGACAAGGGAAAGAGAGACGCGTCAAGGTCAAGGACTTCATTCGATCGAGGCCATTTTCCCACGTGCTTCGATCGAAGCATCGGACTTAATCTCGGCTAGATAAAATGAAGTCCTCGACTCAGCTCCCTCTATTTGCCTTCCTTCCCTCCCTCCCGTTTTTATGCGCACAAAACCAACGTAAGTCGTCCAATATATTGTATTCATATATTTCTGACATAGAGCTATAGACTAATGGCTCAAGTCAACTACGCCAAACCCGCTCCTTTGACCACGCCGAGCAACTCGGTCATCTCGGTCAACATCACCGAGGCTGTGGCCAACTCAGTCATGCTCGATCTCTACAAGGGAAATCGTCAGCTCATTACGCTGACTGATGCCCATAAGCACACTGGGGTGAGTTTCCTTTTTTTTCCGGCTTGTTTTGTTGCTCATATCCTTGTCTATAGCATTTACTTCTCAAGATCATCGACACACGTCGCAGTCGCATGGCTGCACACGTTCTCGCATCCTTCCCTCTCTTGAGGAGAACTCCCTCCACTCCGATGCCCTCCCAGCTCGTTCAGCACATCTGCGCGGCCTCCGTCGAGGTCGGAGTGCGCTCGCCCCGCAGGAGATCTAAGAGGCTCATTGCAAAGGGTATTACGAAGTACCCAGCATAATTTGGGTCAGAAAATGTGCATATATGCATGTCTAACTAATCTCTTGGTCCTTTTATTCATGTACTGATGCACAACATGTACTGACTGCGCTCCTTTACATCCGAATATTGTGTAGCAATCGATGTATGTTATAAAACAATGTCATTTCTTGCTCTTGGAACGAAAGCATGTGAATTAAACTAAGTCTAATAGTCATCCTCATTGATAATAAGTCCATCATTAGCACCAGTTTCCTCTGGCTCGTCCATTCCTCCAATTCTCAGAACGTCGAGCCCAAGCTTCCCCATAGCAAAATAATGTGTTGTTTCGTCACCTAGTGGAGTGAGCTTATGTGGCATCATGGCCACAACATACTTAATCGTCTTGACATTGATGAGTCGAAGCCCAGCATCGCCAGTATGCGAACAAGATACTAGCTGCCCATGTGAAAGCCCCAGTACTGCTGCGTGCGGCTCAGAGTAGATTGACACGAGTGCCAGGCAGCTCGTCTCGTCCACGTGAAAGTCGCCATTAGGAAGCACCAAGGGAAGCTGTAAGAAATAGAAAATCTCGGCGAATCGATCTTCGCCTTCATACAGGACCTATAGAGTGTTAGAACTCGAGTGAATGTCCAAAATTTCCTTACCTTGATGTTTCGAGAACGACGTGTGCATCGGGCATTTAGTGATTCTCCCCAGAGAGACCGAGTGATTTGGCCAGTAGGCAACTTAAGACGAGCCCAGCGAATAATGCGAACCAGAGCAACGCGAGTAAATTCTAGAATAATAGCCCGCTCACATTCACGCAGCGAACCGAGAGATTTCTTGTCCTTCTTGAACAGAAAGGTATAGCCACCACCGAGAGAGACAGAGCCAGTGGGATCGTGTTCATCCTTTGAAGGTGCCAGAGAAGGGTACATTGCCTTGAGGGCGTTCATTTGAGCTCGCAAAAGGCCTTGCTCGGCGAGATTAGCGAATGGGTTCGACGGCTGACGCATCTCCTCTTTCAGGTTACCAATCGTTCGCTCCATGGGGTACTGCGACGAGCAAATGGGAGAGCCGACACAAGCGGCTTCAGCAGCCAGATGGTGGGTGAGATGGACGCATGGTCGGACGAAATGAAGTTGATTCTTCTGCTGCCTGTAGTATAGTTCTTCGAACTCGAGCTCCCAGTCGATTAGTGTCCTTCGAGCATCGTCTAACTGTGCCGGAGTAATACTACACTGGTGCATTATTCGGATCCCCTTAACAAAGCGGCAGAAGTTCTGCCAGTACTCGAACGGAAGAACCCCAAATAAGAGCCCCGGGCAAAGACCATAGATCCAGATGTTGTTCTCCTGTGCTTTGTAGCCTGAGTTCCAAGCCTGCTTGGGGTTACGAGGCAGTTTGCCATGAGATGATGGAATGTGCTCATGTGCTGCGACAACAAGAGCACCATGAGATACCCAGGTATCGCCCTGTAAGACCGCCCAGCCCCAAGTATTAACGTCGTCAGTAGTATGCACAAGAGTTTTGCTTCCGCACCATAGATTGACCCATAGACTGGGCATGTTGGCGCCGGTGTAATGCATGAGCTCAGAGGTAAAGTTCTCGGGGATGCCGAGTATCTTGTCCGGCTGTAGACCCAGCAGAAGACTCGGACCAACGATCCCAGTCTCGAGGCGGTTCTGTGCAAAGCTAGCGAGAGTATGAGAGCCCATGACAATTTTTAGTTTCTCAACATATCTTGCCGAGGAGCTCGCCAAAATACTCCACGGATCGATGTCGCCTCGAGCGTCGCAAACCCAGTTAGTCGGAGCCAAGAGAGCTGGATAGTAAACAGACCCGGTGATGCGCCGGCCGTAGAGCTTGCAGTTCATGCGACAGCCGTACTTACCACCGTGATTGACCATATTACTATAGCTTATGAGCCTGGGACCCTAGCACGAGAACAACAAACAAGAACAAGTTGAATAATCGCCTTGTAGATGCGTCCCAGAGAGGCATAGGCTCCTTCTGGAGCGCAGAGACGTGGTGCATACCTGTAAATAAAAACAAGGAAAGGAACTTGGGCTTGTTGGGCCCCGGAATGACACCGCCCGGAAGGACATATCTCTTCTTGTAGCGATGTTCGGGGGATAGATCAAGAACAATCCATGTGTAGATCGTGACAGAGGAGGCCTTTTTCTCCGTGAGCTGGGCACCGTCAATCAATAGCATCACAAATGTGTCGTCCATCTTAATTTTACCGCTGCGAAGGTCGTCTAAAAACGCTGATCCTAGCACATGTTAGTTAGGGAATTTGAGAATGTGAATGTATGCATGCTGTTACCAGTGAATACATCATCGTATACTCTCGGAAGACGCTGAGGATTCTGTCTAATCTCCTTGATAATCTCCCGAGTGCGATTGTGCTTGTAGTGCATCTTCTGTGCCGTCTCCTGATGTCACCAGAGTGCCTGGACCTGGGGGCCAAGAAGATATGTCGTGCACTGTAGGCGAGGTACTTTCTTATGGCCGTTAGACCGCTGCAATTTCTCCATATTATAACGTGGTTCCCCGCAGTCCGGACAGTCGTTGAGATTTGCCCAGTCTCCTGTGAATGCTGCACAAGATCTTACGCACATGTCATCGTGCACGGCCTCGATGCCAGTGAGCGTTGCCAGAGTGTCTTTGGTGCCTTCGAAGGAGGGAATGGCGGTCGTAAAACATTTGTTTATAGCGTCACGTATCTTGTAGAACGTATCCTCGGGAGCGTGCTCAACCACTCCGAGCATTCGAAGGGCCAAGAGTTCTTTTTTGCAGTCGATCTCAAGAGGTGTAGTTGGTGGGTTTCGAAGGCGGTTGAGAGCGTGGCCTTTGAGGCCAACACCATCGTCCAGTGTAGCGCTTCGGAGACGAGTGATGAAAGACATCTCCCTCTGTATACTATCCAGAGGAGATCGAGAGGCGAGTGCGACGAAATCTTCTAGAGAGGCGAGTGGACTTGTAGGCTTGGAGGGGGAAAGGGGACGTGGAGGCGGTGATAGTATCCGAGTCCTCTCAGTGTCCTGTAGTGATATTGGCTGTTTGATTGGTGTGGTTAAGTTAGTCTGATTGCGTTCATTCCACCTGTCTTTGCTATGGTCAGCCACAGAACTCCTAATGTCCATGGCATGGACATCTAGAGGCGGGCGGGTGTCATTCTGACTGGCGTCCTATGTTTATTATAGTAACGTTAACTGTACATCATAATATGAATGAAATCAATGGCTTGACATGCACCTGAGATGTATCATCCTGAGCCGCCTGTTTCCTGCGTTGCCTCGAGGTTCTCGGGAGGGGTGGAAGACCTCTGACCAGGTCCACTGCTCTGTCTGAGAGCATCACATTCCGTATGACCTCCTTTTTGGTATCTGGAGCGTGTTTGAGGTGCCTGTACCACGTCGGACGTGTGACTGGCGTGCGTCTTCCGTGGCACCAGCGCGAGCAGACGCATAGATGGTCCTTTTCTGCCGGTTGCCTAGCCATGTCGAGAGACGTCCTGCGCGTCTGCGAGCGCGTCTGCAGTGCACTAAGACACGAGCACGCGTACACAGCACAGCGACCACTGTGCGAGTGCGCGTGTTCGTATGTAGTGCCCTCCGCAAGCTGCTAACATACAGAGAGAGAGATGAACCATATATAGAATGTATACGCGATCAAGCCCTGCGCTGACCAAAAATAGAACCATATTCCTCGGTATCAGCTATCTACAAATTAAGTACATGCGGGTATATCGGTGACAATCCGGTATGGCCCGGTATCCCATTATAGATGCTGTTCTCATTGTGTCTCACTGTTCACACTTTGGTGCTGTTCCACATGTTCAGTGTTGTCTGACATGTTACAGAGGAAGTCATGTCCTTCATGTCTAAATTGCAGGGCTTATTGGGCTGCCTCCCATCTTCATCATTTTCATTATCAATGCCAAAATACCCCATTTCCGCCTCAGAATCTCCTGAATTGTTTCTTTCTGCAAAAAAATGCTCAACATTGTGTGCTGCAAGGGTGATATAACTACTTATGAAGCTGAGATTGCCCATGTTGAATTTATCTTGTTTATCTTCCTTGATATACTGTTTTTTGGCAATGTCAGCAATGAGTTTTGTTGCTGACCAACAGCGCCCCTGTATGACAGAAAACAAAGGAGAAAAGCCTGTGACATATAGGTAAGAATTGGACCACAACAAGGACCAAAAATCCTACCTGTGTGCTTGCCACACCTATCTGTGTCTTTGACAGGCTGATATACAGTTACACGCAGGGCTATGCTACCCTTCTTTAGCTGCAGGCACAGCTGAATCACCTTTGCATTGTCACCTGCATATCACACCTTGTAAAGCTGGTTGTACAGCCATGCAAGCCCTTCAAAGGTGTCCCATCCCAAATGTACATCGCCGGCAACAAAAAGTTGTATTTCTCCTTGGGCTCATTGCCAAAACCCATTGGGGGAACATGCCCTGCCTCTGGTATACTGCCAAATCCTCCTCTTCATTTGAATCAGCATGAAGGTCCTTGTACCTCTTGACCCCAGCAGCAACTATTGTCTCATATAGCTCAGCAAGGTATGCAGATGCTGCCTTGTGCTCCTTGCACTCTTTCACCCTTTTTGCACAATCTTCCTCAGACTCAGGCTCTTCCTTTTTTGCCTTGGCTAGCTCACACTTGATACATGCAAACTCCTGCTCCTGTGCAGATGACCTGGAGCTGACCTTAGAGATGTTTTCCTTGTTACTCTCCTCTTTGAGTTGCTTGGCAACAGCAAACACAACCCAATTAAAAAGTGTCTATTTGCCTGGCTCATTGCTTGGGTTGCACAACTTACAATTTACATTTTTGCCCAGCTTGATCAAAGAGAACGCAAGGTCCTGTACATTCACAACTGATGTCTCAAAGGCATTAGCTGGTGTAAAGTTTACAATGGATTAATACTTCTTTGATCTACATGTCATAAACATACAGATAAAATCCACATCCTGGAACTGACACACTTGTACATTCACTGCGAAAACTAGTTTTTGATTGTGTCCTCTTTCTGCGTGTATAGAGTGCCTACTCAATATTCCAGTCCTATTGCAGAATAACAGAATCGGAGTTCGGGCTATTTTGTGATTCCGAAGTCCAACATCTATTCGTTCACGCACATGCTTGGAATATGTCTTATGTTACCGACGACCGAACGCACGATGCCTAGTAGCCCTAATCGTGCGTGTATCTAAAATGGAGACATGATCTATCATCGGTGCGCGGATGCACAATACACTGAACTTTCAACACCAGGCTTATTGGACGAACTTGAAGCTTCAAGCAGAAGCAGCTTGATGAAGAACCTCCACTGCGTTAGCTTCTTGGAGCACAGACGGCGATGTTCCGACTGTCTTCTTGAGCAATTCTTTCTTCCAGTAAGTAAATGGTATTCTAGTTGATATAAACCTGACACTCTCAATGTCCTGAGCATTCACAGATCACACGTCCTATCCTCTCCAATCCTACTCCCCCCAAGGTTCCCCCATTCTCTCAATGCGCACCTCTACTCTGCCTGCTCTCCCACCTATCATGTCTAACACCCCCATCAACCCCGTCATTCTGTCTCAGAGGACCATGAACCACATCAACGACAGGTGGGAAACTATCGCTGTCATGGCCTACAGGCCTGGAAAGATCGTACATCAATTTCCCCATTTTACTGTTCATTCATGATAACTAACAATCACATACTCTTCCTCTTCATAGGTTGTTGAGGTCAACCCGTTCAGCCTGAATGTCAACATTGACGTCTTGAAGACCAATGCCTCGGAGGACCCTTGTGCTGGCAAGCCTCCAATGTGCATTGACCCATTTGCACTACTTGGCGAGACTATTGCACAGTTCACCATCAACAGTCAAGCTCTTTTCCAAGGTGTTTGCACCTTTCAAGCGCACCAGGCTGGACTTTATGTGAGTGGTCAGCAGTCGTCTAATTATCCCTCTCATGCTAACCTCATCACTTACAGGTCGTCGAATTCGACCTCGACTTGGACAAGCCAATCTTGTCTGTGAACGAAACCAAGGACGGTCTCCAGTACCTTCCCTGTGGGACTGGGTGGACCGACTCTGAGAGTGAGCAGGAAACCAAGAACCAGGTAAGTGAATTGCTACATTGTCTTTATTCGGTTTTCTCTAACTTCTATCTACAGAAGCGTGCCAAGGCGCCGTCGAAAAAGGTGCCCTTGAAAAAGCCACACAAGGCTAAATTTGCTACTAGCCATGCGTCTTCCTCAGGCGGTTCCTCGTCCTCGGCTTCGACTTCTACCGGAACCAGAACATCTGCTAGACTCTCAGGCAAAGCAAAGGCATCCGCGTAGTCATCCATGCCAAGGATTTAGTTAGACGTGCCTGGAGTGTAACCGTAAATACCTAGGCCTTAGGCCTTGAATTCATTTTCTATATACATCCAATCAAGTTTACAAAATGACCTGAATCCGCGTGAACGTTTGAACGCTCCTCGGTCATGAACAAATCCTTGTTTGAGAACAAACCCTTTTCAGAAAGCGATGTCAACAATGGTCCCTGTATCTTCTAAAGTGTGCCAGTTCTATTTTGATCGCTGTGATTCCAGTAAGTTTCAGGTGTTGGCATGCACGGCGGCAGCTCATTGCTCGGCCAAGCATTCTCAAGCATCTTCCATGGTATGTGCCTTCTTTCTTAAATTGCTGCATCGCGCATTCCACCCCGTATTTGATCTCTGGCATATGGTCCTCATAGCACGCTTATAATCTCAGTACGCGAAGATCCTTTGCCTAGCATCATTCTCATCCTATACCACCACCACCTACGCACCTCACACCATTTCTATGTCAAACCCACTGTTATATTCAAGTGTCACCATCAATGGTCATCAAGATCGCTCAACTGTCTTCAAAGATATCACCAATCGAGCAGGTCTTGTTGTAAGTTTGATATCTTGTTCACAAAGTAAACTTGCTGATGCATATTGGATAGCTAATCGACGTGATTCAGAGTAGCAACGAGATCACCATGATGCTCCGGGCCTCCGAGGTCATGGAGCCCCTCCGCTGTGGAGAGGATCCATTCATTGCCAACTGGTCCCTCGAAGGCAGCGAGACCATTAGCAAGTACACGTTTGATCGCTGCATCGACCGCCGGTGTGTCCTGGGGTTTGAGGCTTTCAGGGCTGGGGTCATCGTGAGTACAGTACGTTAACTATATGTTTAGCTTTTCTGATGGTTTTTAGGTCCTCGAGATCAACGTACTCAGCTGCCTGGTCGACGTGCGTGTCAAGAAAACCCCAGCAACTACTCCCAAGAGCCTATCTACGGTTGCTGCACTAGTACTCTAGCTTTTTGGCCCTCCCTCTCCGCAACGATTTCCTTCAAACCGACCCAAACCAAGACAATGTTGCAAGCCTACGCCTTTTGCGTCAAACCACGCCAGCACCTCTGGCTTATCATTGGCCAGCTTATCATCAGCCAGCTCGGTGTCATCATCAGTCAGTTCATCAAAGCCTTTAACGAGGAGCGCGTCCAGGCTATCTTCAGCTATCGAAGCAGCAGCCAAATGGTCGAGGATCGTGCTGGGCGAGGACAGGGAAGCTGAGGAGCAAGCTTAAGAGTGAGTCGGAAGCGGGCTTGGACATAGTATCATGATCGACTACTTCAACTTTCTTTATTTTCCTGGGATGGTTATTATACTACACTACTGGTACCATGTGTTTCCGGATCACCCATTTGATGAATGAACATATAATTGAAAATGTAACACTTGTGAAGATGTTTCCCTAAGTTAAAATCAAGACGCTAAGTCAAAATCAAGAACACGTGACTCAGCCACGCACGTCGTGTGCAGCTTCAAGTCCGCACCGCTTTGGATGTTCACATCGCTATGCCCACCTGCAACTGCGAGACCAATCGCTGCAGTGGGAAGCTCATCTCTGCTGCAGAGGTGTCGGCACACGAGAAGGCGGACCTCCAGAGGTCCACCGCCAAAGCACAAGCCCTGCACCAAGCCCGGGATAGACTGCTGCCGCCTCAACCACCTCTGCATGCTCATCCAGAACAGGTCCACCCCACCTACTACCCCATCAACTACTCGCAGGACAAGCTCTACACACCTATCGTATCCCACCATCCTTTCTCTACATCTGACGACCACCAGTTGTACGAAGACCCAACTCTATACGAAGCTTACACAGATTACTACTACGAGCAGGGGGCTGCCATTCCTTATCACCTCGAGGGTGATGAAGACAAGGATGAGGGCAAGGATGAGGGCGAGGGCGCTGAAGAGGAACAAGAACAGGGTCAGTGGGTAAGTCTACATGCTGAAGACTTAGGCCCGGATCCCTTCAAGGTCGAAGACTCATTTTGCCTGGAAGATAACCATCACTCCCTCTACTCCATCAGTCCGCTCAACCTTGCCTTCTCAATGCTAGTCGCCTGGCTTCACCTAAGCTATCACCTCCCTGTCAGTGCATGCAACATCATTTTATCTGTCACAATTCTTGTTCTCGTTCGACTTGGTGTCAGCCATACAGATCTCCCGTTCAAGACACTCCAGTCAACAAACATCCTCCTTGGCATTGACAGACCCATCTGTCTCCTTGCAGTTTGCCCTTGTTGTCAGGACGTGTACCCTTCGGCGTCATCGGAACACGTGCAGGAGATCTGTGTCGAGTGCAATACCCCCTTATTTCTCTCCTCTCATATGGCGCGAGGCAACAAGCGCCTTAGGGTTCCAGTCTTCAAGTATCCATCCCTTCCTCTGTCAACACAGATTCGCACGCTGCTCAAGCTGCCTGGTATCGAGGGACTTCTAGATGCATGGAGGGTCAAGGAGCAAGCTCAAGGCACATACATGGACACTTGTGATGGTGAGGTCACCAAATGCTTGAAGGATCCCGCTGGCAAACCCTTCTTCTTGAACGCGTTCAACAAGAGGAATGGTTCTCATGGTGAGCTACGAATTGGTGTGAACCTGTCATTGGATTGGTACGTTGCTGTCTTGTTCATTCGTCTAGTCTCTAATGTACATTGCTAGGCTTTCATACATCCGAAGCAACACCGCACCTTCACACACGTCCGGTCCTGTATCCTTCTCGGTTTGCAACTTACCACCGGAGTATCGGTACTGCACCGCCAATGTCATGTGCGTTGGAATCCTCCCCGGGCCCAAAGAGCAGACTGGCAATCAGGTGCAGCGGTATATACGCCCTATCGTATCAGACCTGCTTCGGCTATGGAGATATGGCCTTGTGGTGCCAACGGAATCATGCCCCAAAGGTACGTTGATTCAATCATGTAGCTTCTTCATGTTTGTGATGTACCGGCCACTAGGGCGCCATGTACATGTCATACTTGTTGCAGTTGTTGGCAACAAAGCAGCCGCTCACAAGGTGGGTGGCTATGGCTCACACTCACACACAAACTTTGACACCCTCTGCTGGATATCTATATCGAACAAGGCAATGCCAGACGCCTTCCGCGAAGGAGGTACGTGTTTCTTTTTTGCATGGTGGTCGCTCATAACAAATGTCTTAGTGTTTCCCACAAGGACAGACCAGGAGCAGCAAGAACTTGGCGAACTCTACAGGAACCTCCCCAATCAGGCAAAGCGCGCTAAGTTTGCTCACAATCACGCAACACGTTTCTCTCAGCTTTCACGCCTGCCTTACTTCGATCTTGTCAAGCAGATCGTCATTGACCCGATGCATAACTTATTCTTAGGTAAGCCCTCTCCCGCTACAACTCATTCTTCCAGCGTTGAATGTGCCATCATAGGTGTTGTCAAGACTCATTTCTACAACATCTGGGTTCAACACAAGATCCTTTGTAAACAACATGAGCTGGCTGACATGCATCACATGATAGCGGATGTGGGTATCATTCTCATTCCTGTTATTGCGTACTTATCAACCCTATGTCTATGTAGTTTATTGTTCCAACCTCCTGCGGAAAACTCCCTGTTGAGTTTGGAGAACCAGCTGGTGGCTCACTTACTGCTGACCAGTGGATGCTGCTTTGCACCATTTACAGACCAGTTTTGGTATGTTAGTCTCATTGTTGTAGGTATACTGATGGCCGTGTCATCTCTCTAGATCCCCCAAGTGTGGGACCTGAACATACCTCAAGGTGACGCTGACAAAGCTCTTGTCACCCGTTGCGTCACCATGATTGCCTGTCAAGAAGCTGACAAACAGGCCATCACGGCAAGGAAAGCCTCGCAGAAGGCAGCAATGAAACAGGCCAAGGAACTCGGCCCTGAAGCACATGAAGCTGAAAAGCTTCGTCAAGAGGAGGAGAACCTCACGGAGAGCCAACGCAAGGAGACTGAGAAGTTGGAAAAGAAGGCCAAGAAAGCTAAGGAGAAAGCCGAGGTGCGAGCTCGAAAGAAACAGGTGCGTGTTACCATTGCTGGTTTCGTCTTTTAACACCGGTGTGTTGGCCAGCAAAATCGCAAGCGCAAGGCGCCTGGCGGAGATCCTGAGCCCGAGCCCTCAGTGTCCGTGGGCATAGATGAAGGTGATGATGAAAATGACAAGGACAAGGACAACAGTGTTTTCTCCCTTCACCCGCAGGATCCCATCCACTTTCTGCAGCTATCGCAGGCATTGCAGATCCTGCTGAGGCGTCAACTGACTGACCTGGACATCACTTGGGCCACCAATCTCATCTGTCTATACACATCTGAGCTTCTTACCCTCTACGGCACAGCCACCATCAAGCCAAATCACCACTACGCAACGCATATCGGGGAGTGTGTTCAGAACTTTGGGCCCCTTCACAATTTCTGGACGTTTCTCTTTGAGCGGCTGAACTGGGTGCTCAAGTCTTATAATGTCAACAACTGCAACAAGGGCAAGTTAGAGATGACGTTTTTCAGGGAATTTCACAGAACATGTGAAGTTAGCCAGGTGGTAAGTGATTCTAATATCTCATTGAATTAAAACATGGACTCAATATCTACAGGTATGTGCAGCTGCAACGATGCCTCCCAATTCAGTTCCTGCACAGGCAGCAAGAATGATGCTCAAGGTAACGCAGGAGGAGCGAGGCACTGTCGCTTCGCTCGGTGCCCTATCAAAGGACCTTGATGAGGCCCATGAAGACGGTACTCACTCCACCCCCAGCTGCTGTGTTTTGTCACTGACAACTGTTTCTCATTTAGCTGGTGTTAACTACCAGCTCAGCGCTCAGTGCGAACAGCATCTCATGTCATCAGATACTTATCGTCTTATTGCTGCTTACGTTAACTCTCATCATCCAGAGCTGCCCGTCCACTGCCACGGATCCATCACTTCCTCTCCTAACAGCCTTCCTTTGACTGATGTAGCAGTTTTCCACCAGTATGCCATACTTCGGAGCAAATGATACTCTGCATCACGCGCGTGTGGATCCCTACAGAACTCTCTTGTTCGTGCAACAATCCAAACACCCGGACGCAGAATAATCGATGCATTCAGAGAGGTGTTGGAGATCTTGGATGTTTGTCGGCCTTCAAACACCAAGGAAGCAGTGTTCCATCTGGTGCGTGTTGGTTCAAGCCATGGCTGGGAGGTTGTCCACCTCTATGGAAAGACATGTAAGTGTTACTTTGAATGGACATCAGTGGTCTAATGACAAAGGCAGAGAACGAGTGCAAGTGCACTTGTGGGAGCTTGGCGAGTATGTATCAGACCGTGATCACGAGCAGCCATCTATTATCACAGTTGAGGATATCATTGGTCAGCTGGCAATGACTACAGTTTCCATTGGCCCATCTCACTCTAAGGTCTGGGCCACCATCAAGCTTTCAAAGGTATGTCTGATCCATTATCATTTCTGACAGAAGCTAAACCACGGAACCCAGTAATTATCTACGTAGTACACGCCAATCCGGAACATCTGACAATCTATTGACTCTGTGACTCCCTATTTACCTCACCCTCCAGCTGGGTGTCCTGCAACTGGGTCTGCACCTCACGTGTGGCGTACATATCTTCTTTCCACCTCTCCAATTCAGCCAAGTGCTGTTCATCCAGCTCTGTCAAAGCACCGGGTTCGAGGATAGAGCAAAAGGTACGTAACCAATTATTCCCCTGCAGCATCTTTATAGGGCCGTTGATCTCTGTCCACCGTGGGTCGACCATCAACTCAAATGGGAGCGTGGGCTTACGCTTGATCAAATGAGAACCACACCACATGAGCATGGAGACCAGTGCGTCAAGCGTCTTCTTTGCATCCGTCTCATCTAATTGTGCGCGCTTCCTCGCCGGCTCTTCGCTGGACTCCTTGTATGCGATCACCGACAACCACTGCAGGAAGGCAACAAGCTTGCACAAGGTAAGAATTTGGGTAATACAGAGACGATACAGCACTCACCTCGATGCTTCTCCACTCTAACACAATACCCATGCGAGCCTTCAACCCAATCTTGGACTCGTCGCGTCGCCACTTCAGGTCCTCTGTCATAATCCCCTCGTCACAGGTCTCTTGCTCTGTGCAGAAGTCGGTGTTGACAACAGTGATGGCATTGGGGAACAGGTGCTCAACCTTCTTGGTGCCAAGGCGTCTGGCGTGAGCTACCTGCAGCAAGGTAAGCCAATGAGTACCAAGTGTAGTGATCGTGACTCACTGTCTGGCATTGTCCCCGGCGTCTGGCCCTGATTGTCCTCCCCAAAGCGTGGTCACTGCCCTCAGCCGTGCTAGAAATAAAGTAGCCGCTAGTGACTGCATGGATCACTGTAGCCTTGAAATTGTCATCGCTCAGCTCGGCTTTTCCATGCTTCCGCTGCTTCTGCAAAGGAATGCAAGGTAAGTATGCTCTGGACGGCCAAAGACATAATGACAACCAGCTCGTCCTCATATACATTATCTGCAACTGTTTGGATAAAGAGATGATTGTTACGGTCGTGAACACTACCCTTCCAATCAGGACGCCATCATCGAATTGTTTCGTCGCTGTCATTCTCTTCCTCGTAAGGGCGTCCATCAGCAAGAGGCTTTACCTTTTCATGGAGCTCATCTGACCTGCCATCACGGGACAAGGACTTCTTGAGGCCGCACAGGATCGCGAACGACTTATGTACTTCTCTCTGGGTGGATTGTAAGCTCATCTAGATTGCATAGGGCTAGGGGACTGACCTTCGCGTCCTTATGCGTGTTATTCCCCTTCCCTTTCTTCGTCTCACTCTTGCTCTGCCTCGCCACCGCCTGTGCGTTAATTGTGGCTTGCTGCTCCTCGAGCCAGGTGATGACCTGATCCATGAGTTGGCACGTCTCCTTGGCACTCACTAGCTCCTTGGCCTGTTCCTTGACCATATTGGAGAGAGCGACCAGTCTGGAGCAAAGATCATTGATTTCAGAAGGAGCGGGGTCCTCACCTGCACCAGGGTATCCAAAATAGCCATGGGTGTGATCAAGACGTGGCTGCAAAGCCGGAGGGAGCTGGCTTGGATCCGGTGTGTCATCGAACAAGTGATTTGGGGGGTGCTGGGAAGGTCCTGGTGTGTAGCCGCTCCCTCTTTCAAAGCTGGTTGGCTGATGACTTGATAGGTGGAGTGCTGCTCTGGCTTGGGAGTACTCGTATCCTGCGTCACGCTCACAATCCCTCAAAGCCCGGCTGCCGTATCTGTCCATGTGATCAACAGAGGCACAACGAGCGCTGTGGTAAGGTGTCACTGTGCTGAGAGAGTGGTGACTGATCCCGGTGGTGTAGGCATAGCCACCGTGCCCATGCTGCAGCGACGGACCATGACTATGGGCATGAAGGCCGACAAGAGGCCTATGGGGGTATAGAGACTGATGAGGCTGAGAGTGGAGGGGCTGAGAGTGGAGAGCCATGTCGAACGAGGGGATGCGCGGGCCCGGGGGGGGGGGGGCCGTGCCCTGCTTTTATTTTTCATGTATTCAACCTCTCTTGCAATGGCATTAGAATGCCTGTTCCAAAGTTGGATCACTTCTGAATCACTTCTATGTCAGAGTGCGCCCAGCACCTCTGCATCGCTCCTATGCCCTTGGCACAGCAGCCCAGTGGCCTTGGTACGCTTTCCAGCATTCCAGGACACTTGGGTAAAAAGAGGTAAAACTTGCCAGTTGTGTGAGTTGAACCTAGAGCCTTGTGGTAGTGCCCAGAGCGCTGCAACCACTCAGCTATTGTGTGTTGAGGTATACTTCTGCTTGTCTCTTGTTTATACCTTCACCACCTTCCTATTCCAGTATCTCGCGACTTTGCCCCTATTTCGCCTTTCTCTACTCTTTGGCTTACTATGGAGAACTCCGAGCTACTGTACAGTTCCCAAACCTTATTTCTTTTCACCTATATAACCCTGGTGTCCACAGAGCGTCTCCTTACTTGCTCACTGTTGGACACCAGGTCAGTACCCTTGTATTTCGTCTTTATCAATACTACTTGCTCACTGTTGGACACCAGTGCCTCTTCTGAGCGTGATATTCTATTCCTCCT